TGACCTTGAACTCAAGAGATCCCACTGCCTCTATCCCCAAGCACTAGGACTAAAGGTATTCTTTGCCACCATGACTGGTCTACTGTAAAATTTTTAGATGAAAAACAAAGCAACAACAAGAAAAGGGGGAAAATAAACCTCACCAAATCATTATATTTACTACCTTTCTCTCTACCCTGTATCTTGTAGGGGGTTTAAGCTTGCAGCTTTTTGCATACCAGGCCAATTGTCAGCCACTGAGCTGCACCCCAGGCCAAACAGTATCTTTTTGATAGTAGTAGAACTTAACTGCTGTTCTTCAGGTTTTTGTTTTGCTTTTTAAGTCAGGATCTTACTATGTAGTCCTGGCTGACCTACAACTGGCTTTTTAGACTGAGCTGGCTGGGAACCCAAGTTTGCCGCTGCCTCCCTAGTACTGGGATTAAAGCTGTGCAACTGTAACCAGCTCATAAACCAGAATTGTACCAAATTTCAGAAACTAGGTCTTGTCAATATTTTAAAATTTCAATTTAAAATTGGATTTGCCTGTCATTAAACTATTTCCCCTTCCAAATAGGCTATTTTTACTTCAAGCTTTCCAATCCTCCTTATCATTCATTAGATGTACATTATCATATATTAGTTTCTTTTCTTGCACTGTAGTTATAGCCACAGTTGCCTCAGAAGCTGTTTATCAGTTGAGTATCCAGACCTACATCATCATATATATGTATGTATGTTTTTTTAGGAGTCCTTCAATAATGTTAAACAGTGGCTGCAGGAGATAGATCGCTATGCCAGTGAAAATGTCAACAAGTTGTTGGTAGGGAACAAATGTGACCTGACCACAAAGAAAGTAGTAGACTACACAACAGCAAAGGTATGTATGGGGTTTGACTTTGAATGTTAGTTATGGGAATAGGAGACGTACAGTGGTCAAGACTGCCTCAACCTCTAAAAGCCAGTCAACTTAGTCTTCCATTCCCATCTCAAAAGGCAGTAACATACTAAGAAAAATTTTCCAGTGTTCATTGTGCCCTATTACTCTCTCAGGAATTTGCAGATTCCCTTGGAATTCCATTTTTGGAAACCAGTGCTAAGAATGCAACGAATGTAGAACAGTCTTTCATGACGATGGCAGCTGAGATTAAAAAGCGAATGGGCCCTGGAGCAACAGCTGGTGGTGCAGAGAAGTCCAATGTTAAAATCCAGAGCACTCCAGTCAAGCAGTCAGGTGGAGGTTGCTGCTAAAATTTGCCTCCGTCCTTTTCTCACAGCAATGAATTTGCAATCTGAATCCAAGTGAAAAAAAACAAAATTGCCTGAATTGTACTGTATGTAGCTGCACTACAACAGATTCTTACCGTTTCCACAAAGGTCAGAGATTGTAAATGGTCAATACTGACTTTTTTTTTTATTCCCTTGACTCAAGACAGCTAACTTCATTTTCAGAACTGTTTTAAACCTTTGTGTGCTGGTTTATAAAATAATGTGTGTAATCCTTGTTGCTTTCCTGATACCAGATTGTTTCCCGTGGTTGGTTAGAATATATTTTGTTTTGATGTTTATATTGGCATGTTTAGATGTTGGGTTTAGTCTTCTGAAGATGAAGTTCAGCCATTTTGTATCAAACAGCACAAGCAGTGTCTGTCAAGTTTCCATGCATAAAGTTTAGTGAGATGTTATATGTAAGATCTGATTTGCTAGTTCTTCCTTGTAGAGTTATAAATGGAAAGATTACACTATCTGATTAATAGTTTCTTCATACTCTGCATATAATTTGTGGCTGCAGAATATTGTAATTTGTTGCACACTATGTAACAAAACTGAAGATATGTTTAATAAATATTGTACTTATTGGAAGTAATATCAAACTGTATGGTGATAAGTATTGTTTTAATTCTTATGGTTAAAGGGAACTAGAGCTTTGCATTATTATACTCAACAGCCATTTGTGTGTGCAGCAAGGGCACTATAGACCTATCTTACAGCACAGCACCCAGTATTTGCTTTCTAGTAATAGATCTTATGAGTGACCTAGAGAAGCTCTGTGCTGTGTAGACTTAACCAACTTCATTGGTTCAAGGAGCTCAAACTGTATGGAAAACAAGTTTAGAATGTCTGCTTCCTAGCACTTCATCTCCAGCCCAAAAAACATTAAGTGGCTTCACTGGCAACACTTTTTTCATGCATCTGTGGTAGAGACAGCAGTACATGCTTCCTCACAGGCAGTCATCTGGTAATACGTGCTGGTGTTTCTTCCATGCTGTGAGTCAGACACACCCCTTTTCACCCCTCCCCCCTCATTTTGCTTTTGGAGACAGGGATTCTCTGTGTAACCCTGGCTGCCCTGGAACTTGCTCTGTAGACCAGGCTGGCCTTGAACTCAGGGATTCGCCTGTCTCTAGCTCTGAGCGCTGAGATTAAAGGCGTGCACCACCATGCTTGGCTTTTTTTTTTTTTTTTTTTGAGGCAGGGTCTCACTATGTAGCCCTGGCTGGCCCCTCACAGAGATCACCTGCCTTTTCCTCCCAAGTGCTGGGCTTAAAGGCATATGCTACTCAGACTGCACCCATTTTTTTGAGACAGTGTCTCACATAACTCAAGAGGCCTCAAATTCTCTTGTAATTAAGGATGGCCTTGAAATTGTGATCCTCCTGCCTCTACTTCCAAGTGTCAACTTTTTTATTCTTTCCAATTGTATAACTCATGTTGGAGGAAGAGTTTTAAGCATTAGAATAGAAAGCAGGAAATGGTGATTGCCCTAATTGTAGAAATTATACCCCCTCCCCCAATTAACTGAATACATTAACGCTAGATGGGAATGATGAGAGGAAATAATATATTTATTTCGGTGAAAATTTTGCATGTGTGAAAGTTTTGTTAACTAGGACCTTTGAGATCCTAGACTTTGCTTTTGTCTTGCTGTGGGAAATAAAGTCTCTTGCAGACATTAGCATTTTAAGGTGACAAAGGTCAGAGATTGTTTCCTTTGGTTTAAGCAGCAAACATTCTTCAATTGGGGGCTTAGGATGTGGCTGTTGACAACACATTTTATTATGGGCTCTTTAATGATAAAATATTAAACTAAAAAGTAAGCCAAAAATTACAGGTTTCTTTATTTTTCACTAAACAGACAATTGAAATACATGGTACAAAAATAAGTGGTGAGAGAATTGTAAAATGAAAAATGGACAGAATAAATATTCAATTTAATTTTCCATCTATGAGAATTTCACAATAAAAATCATAGTTTACTTTGTATTATAGATGTGCTTGTTGGGTCTATTCATCCTTCTATAAAATAAGGCAACTGGAAATTCCTGAAGTCACCAGTAATGGGTCAACTTTTTTTTTTTTACCTTTTGTTGCTGTTGGTTTGTAAACTTTTCTATCATAACTAAATGATATGGACAAAGTGATATAAGACGAAGTGATGCCATGCACTTTACATTTACACAGCAAACGTTCAAGCTGTCAGCTTATTCTTTGTTAGCGGAAAACATTATATGAATTTATTTTTAATATGAACATATTTACAGACTTTGTAAAATTCTAGTGTTCTTTCCCCACCAGCAGCAAGATTAGGGCTTACCACACCATTTCAGTATACTTCACTATTTGCTTTTATGCATGTGCCAATTAATTGCAGTTTTGGAGGGAAAAGTATCCTATTTTTTTAAGTAAAAACATTTCAAGAATGTTGGGAGTTCTAATTTGTTCACATAATAGAAAACTGTCCCTTGATATATTTTTTAAGAAGAATGACTGCCATACAGTAACTTGCATAATGAAGAGCATCCTACTCAGTGACCATGGCTGGGAATCCTTAACGAACAGTAGGCACCGGGCTCACTGCTGATTTCCAATGCACACTTGAAGTCTCCTCAGACATATAAGTGGCCATTCCAGCATACCTGTCACCATCATGCTTCTTTTGGGTTCCATCTAAGTTTCAAAACAGCCTGTGTTTGAAACCTCTTGTTTTGTGCCAGAGTTTAGTGATAGTGCTACTTCACTGTGAACGCAACGAGCTTTAAGGGACCATTTATAAATTCTGATATGGCTATTTGAATCCACGCTGGCCACATTTGCACATAGAAATGCTGGTGTCATCCTAGGTTGATGACAATTTCAGCTCAAACTTCTTAACACATGGCAGAAAATGTAATGAACAATTGTGTTGGTATTCCTAAATGACATTCACAGTCAAGGTCAGAGTTTGCATCCTTTGGTTACAAAAAAGTATCTTTTTGTTACAAAGAGGATGAACAAAAGCATAGACCATGTTCAGCAAGTTGGGAAACAGTGAATTCCAAAACGTTTGTCAGTTGAAGTGATTGTAATTACACATTAAGAACATGTGTGCCCTATTCTGCATTCAGTTGGTGCAGCTGGCTAGCTCTTTTCTGTAAGGTTCTGCCATGTTCAGGTTTTGTGTTGGCTGACTTCCATGCCTATTAAATGGGTTTAATTCCTGAGGGTTCCTCTAGCATACTGGTGGGAAGGCAGTTTAAAGCCACATCAAAGAGGTAAGATGTACTAACTTTTAACTAACTCTGTTTTATAGGATTTTTACATATAAAACTGTTAATCATTTGGTAGAAAAGCATTTTTTTTTCCCTTTTGAAAGCACATTATGGGGGGCTGGAGAGATGGCTCAGTGGTTAAGAGCACTGTCTGTTCATCCAAAGGACTTGGGTTCAATTCCCAGCACCCACATGGCAGCTCCCAACTGTCTGTAACCCCAGTTCCAAGGGATCTGACACTGTCACACTAATGTACATACAATAAAATTAAATTATTTAACAAAAAAAAAAAAAGAAAGCACATTATGCACGATGTACAATAAGCTTAGAGATGTCAGAATCAGGAAACTTTAATTTGAACTGGGCACCTGTGGCACATATCTTTAATTCCAGCACTCAGGATGCAGTGGCAGGTGGATCTCTGAGTTTGAGGCCAGCCTGGTCTACAGAGGGAGTTTCAGGACAGCCAGGGCTACACAGAGAAACGCTGTCTTTAAAAACCAAATCAAACCAAAATCCTTTATTTTGGATCATGCTCATAAACATTACGGTAAGTCATACTGTATAACAGCAGGCATGTGAAAATACTGTATTTTATATATACTTACCAATCAGCTAATATTTCTCATTATCTAGCCCTGGCAGCCTGGAACTTTAATCATTATAAACCAGGCTAGCCTCAAACTCAAAGATATAATCCCAAATGCTAGGATTAAAGTCATATACCATGCTTATCTAAATAGCAAATCTTTGTTTTTTTTCTGTTCTTAAGCTGAAAAACCTATCTTTGATACTTTGTGGAATTTGTGGTAACCAGCATACAATCACTTTCCTTCAATATCTGTAAATGGTATTTTGAGCAACTGATCCATAGAATTTTCTTCCCGACAAGGCACTACTTGTTAACTCCCAAGCAACAAAGAATGTCCCTTTTTCATCACCATAGGCCGCTTTAATTTCTGTAAGGATCAGACTGTGTGGCTGTTCCGTTCCCTTCCTCTCACTAGTCTTCCAGGGGAAAGAAGAGTAGAGGATTGAGTGGCCCAGAGATAAGCAAAAGTTTGCACTTCAGAACATGATGGCAGACCTCCAACTTCTGATGAAATAGTTAATGAAGAAAGCAGAGACTAACCACTAAAGATGGCCACTGATCTAGTGTTGTCCAAAGGACCCTAGAGGTTCTACTGACTTACAGTAGACTAAGGGCTAACAGGTCTTCAAAAAACTCAACTTCAGTTTAGGAAAAGATCCACAGGTTTGGCCACTAACTTTTTCACTCTCTCAGATACCATTCCTCTGTATGCCCGAGAATCCCAAGTACTTGGAACCTTCTTTCTTGAGCAGCTTTCTATAAATGGCCTCAACACATTTTATCTGCTGTTTTTTTTAAACAGAAGGGGTACATAAACCCACCCCCAAAAATTATAAAGCCACTTATTTTTGGTAGGGAAGCACCAGAAGGAAAGCCTTATTTTGGAAGGATTCATTGTAACTCAAGAAGCCTTCAGAGTGAGAAGGCAAGTAAAGCAAATATGTTAAAGTTGAGTTTTCCTCCCCTGCCTTAACTATTAAATGATCCTTACAAGGGGTTCTTGAGTTTTCTTCCCAAGGGCCAACTTAGGTGATGATAATCCATCTCTGCCTGGGATGATACCTGAAATAGAAAGCAGCAGGGGTTACAGGCATGCTGCAGAAGAAGAAATGATAATGCTGTGACATCTTACATTGCTTTGATGCAAATACGAATGCCTATTTACTACTACTATTATTAGTTTTTTAAAGATGGTCTTGGTACATAGCCTACGCTGGCTTCTATGTTTGAATCCTCTTGCTTCAGCCTCCAGAGGGCTGAGATAAAGGTCTGCACTACCACTACCTTCACCCTCCTGGAGTCCCTGCTCTTGACTTGTTTCCAGCATATGCTGAGATACCTTATGTGATAAACATTTTATAAGAGCAAGTTCTAGAAAAAGTACAGTAGAATTGTGGGATTCTTAAGTGCTAGGTAGCACAGATCCTAGGGTAGGCGGTAACCCTCCTTTTCTCTTGGCCTCTCTTTCCTATCATTCATTCCCAGTTTGACTTTCTATGAGGTAAGATGAAAGTTGTGCTTAACAAGTAGTACTTGTGAAGTCTCTAACATGTGCCATCCCCCAGACTTTGAGTAATGATGTGGTATGGGAGATTTGCAAAGAACCTATGTGGGGAGTAAGAGAGCTGGCAGGTAGCTGGGTTTTTGTAAACGCTGGAGACAGGTGCTAAATGAGTTGGGTGAGAAGAGCCTACAGGACAGGGGCAGTCTGATCATGGCCCTACACTGGAGAAGTGTACCTGTGTGAAAATAGCACGGTAAGGATTACTGCTGTTGTCTGTGTGTGTCAGCAGTGGTAAAGAGAACAGATGCTCCTCAGCAAGGACTTGAAAACAGACAGTGGAGCCAAAGTGACTTTCACCACAGGAAGACCCATATTCCTGGCAGGAACAGTGACTCCTTCAGTACTATGGGCAATCTTCCTTCAGCATTACATTTGGTTCAATGACTATTACTCCAGCTAAGTGTCTTAAGAACTAATGATTTACTAGGACAGCCTTGTGCCCTAATTAGCACACTGGTTGAACAAGTTGTTTTCTTGGGTTTTTCTACTTACTTAAAGTTGTTCATGAGGGTGTTCTTTTGCTGCTGTAGGCCTATTGTCAGGGATGAGGGTGCAGCCAGCCAGCATGTCCAAAGAGGCTAAGATAGAGTCATAGAGGTGATCTGCATGGTTCTCCAGCTCTCCAGACTGTTTTGCGATCCTCTCAAGGACATCCTTTAAAACTAATGGTCAAGTTATGAAAAGGTATAGCAGTTTGCTCAGATAGGACCACAGTGTTATCACAATGCCCCCTCCCCTACCCCAGCAGGGTCTCAGAGTAGCTCAGGCTGACCTCTTACCTGCTTCCTAGCTGAGTATGACCTTGAACTTTTGCTACAGTATACACCACCACAGTACACTCATTTATGCAGTTCTGGGGGCTGAAGCCAAGTTTTTATGCAAGCTAGACAAGCTTTTTACCAACTGAACCATGTTCCCAGTCCATCTACACTTTTTTTTTTTTTAAAAACAGTGATGCGCCCAAGGGCTTAAATAGTGTTTTGGGAAAGCTTGTGGATTTTGGGGAGTAAGGGAGATTAGGGTCCCCAATTAGAGAAATGGAATGAGACTAGATTAAGAGTCAGTCAGTCCTACAGATCAGAGAAGATGTGCTAGGGTTAGAGTACTCACAAATGGCAGGCTGTTTTCTTCTGTTAAACACAAAAGCTGCTTGCTTCCTGTGCTTTATCAGCTGTGCTAAATGCTCCCGAACTTCCTGCCAGAGAGCCACATCTGCCCACAGAGGATAAGAAAGGGGAAGCCTTTGTTCTGCTCACAATGTGGACTAGATGGGGCAGGAAGGGAAGGAACACCAGGCTGGGTGTGTTGAGTGCAGCCTGTTAGGAAGCCACATCAGGGCAAAGTGCTGTCCTAACAACTCTTGAGAGCTGGTGGCAGAGGAATACTGTCAGGGTGGCTGAGCCAAGCTCTGTTCCTGTGTTTTGGTGGAATTCTGGGGGCCCTTTATGTGAAACTTTACTGTCAACGGGTCATGAAAGAAAGGCTAGAAAGGGAATGAGATGGGTGTTTTCCTGGTGTGATTTTTGTGTACTTTAATTAACATATACATATGGGGCCTCATTTGGTTTAATTTCCATGGGTTTCAGGCACAAGACTTATAAGCAGTTGGGTGTAAAAAAAAAAAAAATGCCAGCCTGTCAAAATGCTTTTGGCATGGTGCTGACATAAGGGCAAGCCTCAGTCATACTCCTAAGTTACATTTGTAGCCAAGCAAAAAAGGCAGGCTCTGAGAAAGCAGGACGGTGTGGTGTGTGTGCTCTTGGCAGGATGCTTCTGGGAAGAGGAAGTAGGGGGTAGTGAACCTGAGACTTGAACAAAACTGCTGAACTCTCCAATTATTCCAGGAGGCTGGGAGGGGTTAGAGTACCAATCTGAAAAAGTCTGAGACTCAAAGCAAACCAAAAGCCTCGTCTGGCCAGTAAACTGAGTCTCTTAGAGTAGGACAAAGTGGAGTGTTCTTGCTGGCTTACTCATTTAAATATTAATGGATTTATTTCCAAGTGAAAGTCAAAACCGATTTAGGAGGCCTCTGAAAAGAGAGGGCCTACACTGAGTTTTTCCTGCTCCTGCCCTGTACCTTCAGACGCTAGGACAGCAGCTGGAAGTTTCCGGAGCCCCATGCTAAACATGTTTGGTAAACGCCAGTCTATTCAGAAGCAGTATAGCTTGCTACTCCAAGTTTCTGCCCCAATATAAAACCTAAAACTCTGGGCTGGTGAGATGGCTTAGTGAGTTAAGGTATGCAAGCTTGGCAACCTGAATTCAATGTTTAAAACGTGTGAGGGTGGGAGAGAACTACCTCCACAGGTTATCACCTGACCTCCACACACATGGTATGGCACAGGTGCACACACACCATTCACACACAGAACAACAAAAACAAAACCATTAAGGCTTAACCACAAAAGCAACCCCTAAAATCCGATGTAAGAGAACAGTGGAGGAGTTTCTAAACAGGCCTTCTGAGAAGCAGGGGAATCATGGAGCTCACCAGTCCACACTGCTGTGGAGACCTGTGAGTGGTTGCTTTCCATTGAAACCTTTCCATGTGTTCACTTTCCCCAAGATACAACTGGCACTGCCTGGAAATGTTTTATGGTGTCAGCATTGTTTCGGTTTGAGGGCTTTTGTGCTACAAAACATCTTGTAATGCAAGGAACACCCCTACGACAAAGAGGTGGCACCAAGCCTGAAAAACCTTGTTTTATAACACTTTTTTAGGTGGTGTCTGGTCATCACCTCTCACAAGGTTCATCATGGCTGTGTTTATGCCATTTAATTCCTGTGAAAATCCTATCTTTCTCTGGAACTGAGGCATAATATAACCGGACTCTTCAAGCCATTAGTGGCCACTTTGGGTGCCCATTAATTCAAGACTTTAAGGATATGCGGCACTGAGCGTGGAAGGAAACTTCCATGCTTCAGTAAAAAAAAAAAAAAAAAGAATTTTAGAAGAGAATGTATTTCTTGTAGGTTTGGTGCCTGACTTATAACAGGCTTTTATGCCCACAGCTCTCCTACATGGGTCTGGAGGAACAGTGATGTAAGGAGCCAGCAAGTGTTCTTTCGTGGGACTCTCCTAGGCAGTGTGCATGTTTTCTTGCAACAGAAGAGCAAAGCACTGGCTAAATTTGAAACTGGAAGCGCAAGGCTGGAGATGCAGCTGAGTGGTAGCCATCTATTTTATATGCTCAAGGCCTTGGATTTGGTCTCTCAGCAGTGTATTCAAACAAACAACAACAACAAAAAACCCTCAAGCCTGGAGAACACTTACTGCTCTTGGAGAATGCTCAGCTTTGGTTCCTAACACCAAAGTTAGGAAAGGTTCACAACCTTTAACTCCAGCTCCCGGGGATCCAAAAGCCTCTTCTGACTTCCACACGTTCTTGCTTGCATGTGGTACACATATACACATTCAGACACACGAACATACACATTTAAAAGAAAACACCTCAAGAAAATATAGACAGATATGCAGAGGGCTGGAGGCGGATCAGTGATTAGGATCACATATAGCTCTTCCAGAGGACCTGAGTAGCATTGGGCTACTTATATCCAGCTATAGCTCTAGGTGATCTGATGTCCTAGCCTCCAAGGGCACCTGTGCTCATAAGCCTTACACCCTCACACAGATATGTATATACTTAAAATAAATCTTTAAAAAAAGGGGGGGGGGCATCAGGCATGGTGGTATACACCTTTAATCCTAGCACATGGGAGGCAGAGGCAGGTGGATCTCTGAGTTCAAGACCAATCTGGTCTACCTAGTGAGTTCCAGGACAGTAAGAGCTACATAGTGAGACCCTGTCTCAAACAAGAGGCATTATAAGACCAGCAAGGCAGCACAACCATCTGAAAGGCGCTGTCGCCAAGCCTGATGACCTAACTTTGATTTCTGGAGCCTACATAATAAATTCGAATGCAAATAAATAGATACAGTGCTACCAGGAGCCAGGAGACCCTGTCTCACAATCAAACTATAGGTGTGGTGGCACAAGCCTGTAATCCCAGGACTGAAAGTAAAGGCAGGAGAACCCTTGCAGGTAAGGCCAGTCTGACCTATATAGTGAGCCAAGCAACAAGAAACAAAACTTCTGGGCATGGTGGCACATGCCTTTAATCCCAGGCAGAGGCAGGCGGTGGTCTACAGAGCATGTGTCAGGGCAGCCAGGACTTGGTGACATAGAAAAACCCTATCTTGAAAACCAAAACAAACAATAAAATTAAATAAATATGAAAACTGCCCATTCTGGGCAAAAAACCAAAAACAACTACTAGTGTTACTATTAATAGCCATCTGATGAAAAAAATGGTTGAATGACCTTGATACTTCAGAAGACATTAGAAAAGGCCAACAATCTATGAAAAATACTCAGTAACCACGAGGGAAAGAAAACTACAGTGATAAGTGATCTCAGTTAAAGTGGCTGGTATAAAGCTGGGTGGTGGTAGCAGTGGCGTACACCTTTAGTCCCAGAACTTGGGAGACATAGGCAGGTGGATCTCTGGGTTTAAGGTCAGCCTAGTCTACATAATGAGTTCTAAGGCAGCCAGGGATATACAGAGAAACCCTGTCTCCGGGGTGTGAGGGGTGGAGCAAAATGGCTAGTATGAAACAGACAAAATGACAGCAAAGATGACAGAAAAGGGAAGTCTTACACATTGCTGGTAGGTAGGAAGCAGTGTGGAGGTCTTCACAAGACTAAACTGACAGTGTGGCCTAGAAGCCCACTGCTGCTGTGTCTATCAAGGAGAGTGAGAGCAGGGTGTCGAGGAGGCAGTTGCACTCTCATCTCTGTCGGTGCTGTAATCACATCTTTAGGCGAGATGGAACTCAAGTGGGAAATGGGATTCTAAGTTAAAACAATGTGAAAACTCCTGTCAGCTGAGGCTGATGAGAATTCTACACTGAGAAAAGAAAGAGTGCCGCCACATTCCAAATTCAATTGCTGTTAATACTGGCTAGTTTAAAATAAGTTATTTTTAGTCTTAGTGTGATGTGGGAATGTGCACACGTGGATGCCCTGGAGCTGAAGTTACAGTGCTCACAGCAGCTAAGCCGACTCTCCAGCTCCTGGGTAGTTCTATTTGGTTGCCACCCTTATTTATTTATTCCTTTTTTTTTTAAGTTAGGGTCTCACTATGTAGCCCAAGTAGAAGCGGGCCTGGAACTATTAGACCAGGCTAGCCGGAAATTTAAGACACCATCCAAGTGCTGGGACTAAACATATGCACTACCATGTCAGGCTCTTCATCTTTAATTCTATGTTGACTAATTCAGATTTCATATTAAAATTCACTAGTAGGTAAATGGTTTTGAATTCCTAAGGGCTGCTTTAACACACTCAGTGGAAAGACATGTTCCAGTTTATAGCCACATACAGTGAACATCTGTATCACACTGGACCTACAGGGAAGTACAGTATATGTTAATAAACATAACCAAACAAGGCTGCTCTCAGTTACCCACCTGGGGTATTATCCAACAGGCACTGAAGAAGAATCTCCCCCTTCTCCAAGACACTGTCTGTCAGGGACTGATGTTCATCCACATCTTTCTTAAATTGCTTAAGACATCAGGAAAAGAAAAGAAGTTTCAATATATTGCCTGTAGACGCCATCGAAAACCAACGCTATACCACTGTTATTCTATGTCTTCTCTGACAAAGACGACTCCTCAGTGTTCTAGTTTAGTGGCAGCTTCTTTGAGCCCATAGAAAATACACTCATTGTTTTTGTTTGTTTGTTTGTTTGTGACAGGGTCTTGTTTAGCTCAGGCTGGTCTTATAGTGTCCTCCTTATATCCTTCCTAGTGCTAGGATCAAACCCAGTTCAACAGAAGATTTTTTTTTCCCCCAGAAGAGGCTGGCTTTGAACAGGTTAGAGCAGGGGATTCCATTTTGTATACTTTATGGTGTTCTGCGATTCAGAGGTATGGGACAAGATAAATTACACCGTTACAATGAACATGGTAGGTAAGAATGACAAGTAGCAGTTTGTCACTGTAGCACTGAGCAGAGTTGTGGCCTCCACCTTTATGCCCCTTTGCAGGCCTCTATGCAACACCTTGTTATCAGGGTAGCTGCTATTTTCCCAAGAACTCATGCCAAGCAGGTTTCCCCTCACAGCTACAAGGCTTTGTTGATTTTTTTTAAAGGTTTATTTATTATGTATACAGTGTCCTGTCTGAATGTTACCTGCACGCCAGCAGAGGGCACCAGATCTCATATGATGGTTGTGAGCCACCATGGGTTTGCTGGGAATTAAGCTGAGGACCTCTGGAAGAGCAGACAGTGCTAACCTCTTAGCCATCTTTCCAGCCCACTTTTTTTTTAATTTTTATTCTTATTTTCTTTAAAATTAGGGTCTCATTATGTAGTCTTGGCTGCTCTTAAACTCACTATGTTGACTGGGGCTGGCCACAAACTCATAGAGCTTTGCTTGCCTGTTTCTTCAGTGCTGAGATTAAAGGCAAGTGCCATCACTTTCAGTTGTAACTGCTTTTTAAAAATCCTTCTTTAGCCATTAAGAATTAAAAAAAAAAAAATGTATAAAATTGGCTGAAAGATGGTGGCACATGCCCTTTAATCCTAGCACTTGAGAGACAGAGTCAGGTGGATTTCTGTGAGTTCAAGGCAAGCCTGGTCTACAAAGTAAGTTCTAGGATGAGAAAGAAAGTAAAGAATTGTATAAAATTAAACCCATGATACGGGACAACCTTCTGTATAATATTTTGATAGTACTAATTTTACTCTTGGATTTGTTTTCCTGTCTTCAACAAAGTATTCCTTTGCCAACACTTTTTTTTTTTTTTTTAATTCTACACAGGGTGGGATGAGTGACAGCTAAAATGTGAGCACACATGAATCTGAGCACTCAAGTCTTAGTCTAAACAAGAGCGAAGAGAACTCATAAGTCATGCAGCATTCTGAGAAAAGTGTCAGAAGTGTCTTCTCACTGATGTAGCTATGTCCACACAAGAGGCCTAAGCTTGACAAATATGCAGGAATAACTCCTGGCTCAGATCTTAGCTATCTACAACGTAAGATGGTTGCAGCTGGCTAGCCTGAACTTGAGTCACAGAGAGGGTGTTATGAGGGCTAAAATGGAGAATGGAGTAAATCTATCTGACATGTTCAGCAAGGCCAGGAAAGGCTGCTGAAGTAAGTCAGATAGAGCGCTTTCTCTCCCTGGGACTCCCTGGGTGCACTCCCTAGGCACACTGTGGCTGAACAGAGAGAAACTTCAGATTCAGCCTCCCTCTCCAAACTTAAGCTCGACTCTGTCTCTACACTGTATCTAATAGTATTCCTACCAGGGCAGGACAGCTAGTTAACCCGCACTATATTTTAGTTTATTCCAAGCAGAAAACAAAAGCCCTCCCCTCCAGATGAGGCCCATCCCCATGATGCTGAGTCAGAACTAGGTGGCAGACTGAGTAAGCAGAAATGAGTCTGACCCTCTGCTGCTGAAGGTTAGATGACAAAGACCTGTGTCCCTCCCTTCCCAGCACACTAGCAGCAAGCCTGGGCCACCACTGCCCACCAACACATGACTATAATCAGCCAAAGTTCACCAAAGTAGCCTCCAACTCAGTATACTTTCAGTATCAAGTTAACTAAAACACACAGATGTGAAACAAGACCTTAGTAACAATTATAAAATCAAACCCTCCATTCTAAACACAGACACAAAATGGTGTCAGATTTTGAGGTAAATTTAGCATAACTGTTCTATCACATGGCTCCATCTGTACCTTGATTGAGTAGTTTCAGCTCAGTTCCATAAACACCAATACAGTTCAGAAGAACTTTTTGGCGAAGGCGGTATGTTCTGTGTCTGCACTGCATGGTGTAGCAGCTGCTGCACATTGTGGCACAATTGTCTTAACTGAATTATCATATGTGACTAGTATCTATAAATCATAGCCTATAAGCCTAACCCTGAGATATCTGCCAAAGTACCATGCAAACTCTAAAGTATTTCTGATTCTAAACAAACATAATTCTCTTCTATCTTGCTTGAAAGTTAACTCATATTTTACAGTGTTCAACACCGAGAAGTTATAAAGGGCATCTTGATTATATTCAGATAGTAAACTGAGCTACAAGATTCCAGTTACTTGAGACTTTATTTTGTAAAAGTGAAATTTAGTTACAGTTTCTGTGGGTGAACAAGCCAGGACTACATATTACCCGGTAAAGCTGCAGAGAGGACTTGAGGCCTGTAAGACTGGACCTCGATGGAGTACTGAGGTCAGCAACATCCGTGACATTATACAACCAGCAGATCAGCTCTTCTAGCTGACAGCAAAATGTCTGTGGAGACAAGAACACATGGTGGGCTGGGCTGAGCTCAGTGATGAAGTCTGCCTAGCAAGCTCAGAGCCCAGTACAACAACAAAAACAACAAATCCACATGGTGCCACTGAATGAACAGCTATCTTCCTTGTCTGGAGGCTAAAAATATCAGCATTTTGGCAATATAGGTATCTTTCTAAAGTTTTCTTTCATTTCATTCATAGAGTCATTTGTTTCCACCTCTACCCTGTAACTTCAGACCTTCCTCTGCCAGAACAACGAATGTCATACTTGGTCGTGTCTCCCCTCAGCCAGATGTAATACCAAAAACAGGCTTAGAATACAGAGTCCTGAAGGTGAGAATGGAGCTACGGAGGAACTAGGACCGTAACCAACCACTAAACTTTCTGTGCAGAAAAGCAGATACATGATGAATGAGTGAATTAGAACTACCTGAGCTACAGTAAAAGTAAAAACAAAAACAAACCCCCGTGTATATCAACTTTGTGTCACCAAAGCACACAGGATATTGGTGCTACACATTACTTAATTTCTATGCCATTTTCTTGCCATCATTAAAGGAGAATGCCCATATTTTGGGGTCATGTGTGCTGGGGGTGCTCAGACATGCTGTTGGTAGGCTGGGGAAAGAGCTCTTCTTCCAGAAGCTTCTCCATGCTGAGCATCTTTACCTGCACACACTGCACCAGGGAAGCTTTCTCCCGCTCTCCTGCTTTCCTGGGAAGCTTCCCTCCAGCAATTTGCTCTGAGAATGACCACCTGTCCTGCGCAGCTTGCAAGGAGGGTTGAGTTTTCAGCAGTCCAGAAGAGACCCTGAGGGCTTGACTACCCATCAGACTACTTTTGCCTGTGGAGTCCTGGGGCTCGATAGAGTGCATGAAGCAGTGTTTCTGGCCCAAAGGGCCTTGAAAGGCAGCCCCAGAAGGATGCTGCGTTTGGCTGGAATCCACTGTAGGGGAAGCTGGTCTATCACTGTCTGAGACTTCCAATGAACTGTGCTCCTCAGCAGCCCCAGTGGGTAGGTTCACAAATGTCGGAATGGCACCTAAGTAGGACACCAAACTAGAAACCTGAGTCAGTCTTGTGGGCAGAGCAAGGTACTCATCATCACTTTCCATCTCCTCTTCTGGTGTCCATCCAGGCTTCACATAGGCAGGATGCCCACTGTTCTGGCTGGCTTTCTTCTCCCTCGCCAGTGTGGGAAAGGAGTGCTCTCTCTCCTTTGTCCTCAGCTGAGGAGAGCCAACATTGAGGTTCTTGCCTACTGGTAGACAGTCCTTTGTGTCCCTCATGGCTGCTTCTCTGTTCCCCCAAGAAGCATCCTCAGTCCCTGGGGCTCTAGGGGTCGATGCAAGCTGGTTCCAGGATGCCAAGCTTATGCCACCCTGTTTCTGGGATACTCCCAAGGGACAGCGCTTAAGACATGGCTCTCTGGCTCCAGAAAATGGCAGAGCAGGCACTTCTGCTGATGAGCAACTGTGGGAGACATTAGTGGGTGACTTGAGAGTACTTGCTGGGGAGACAGAGAAACTGTCCAGATCTACACCTGAGTCTTGCATCACAGGGTCAGTCTGCACATGACTTGCAAGTTGCTTTGGGAGCTGAGGCCCAGGCCTCAGTGGGTAAGTATAGTCAAGCAGATCTTCATACTCCTTATTCGGGTTCCAGAGTGGGGACTGGCGGTTAGGAGAAGGAGGCAGAGAATCTGGCAGTACACAGGCCCAGTACTCTGCTTGAAAGGAGAGTTGTCTCTTACCCAGGCCTGCAACATCACTGCCAGAGGCCACAGGCTGTGATGACCACTGGAGCTGAGGCTCTATCTTCATCACAGAAGGGGCTGCCTGTGGTACAGTCAACTCCTGAGAGGACGTGTTAGCAAAGGAGCCACTCTGAGGCTCTGCCTTCTCCTGGTGATCCTGGAGACTGCTGCCCACTGAAGAGGCAGAGATGCTTCTGCTAGATAGCTGAGGAGCAATGGGGTTCCCTGTGCACTTCCACTGTGCTAGGAGAGGGAGACCTGAGATGTGAGGCTGCTGGCTAAGGCCCAGCACCTGAGATGAATCAACTGCAGACTGGTCAACTTCACTGTCAGCATCATGTCCTGAGCAAACAGTTATAGTTCCAAGGACTTTAACAGTCTGAATTAGCTCCTGGGAGGCAGGAAGCCTGTTTTCCTCCATCTACAATAACAACGGAAGAAAGACACTGGTGAAAATAAGCAGACTTTTTATTTTATTTATTTTTTTAAAGACCAGTTTTCTTTATAAGGTTGAGGCAGAGGTCTTGGGGGAAGAATATCAATGAAAACAACGTAGGTCTAAAGGATCCTATGGTAAAACCTGCTGCTTAGTATACTAATAAAATGAAAAACAAGAAAGGAAGATAGATTTGCTTATGTGCCCAGAAGTATTCAGGGAAGATCTCAAGGTGCTTGCTTCTAGTGGTTAGCATCAAGACTCATCCTACCCTGGAAAGTTTCCTGCAACTGAGCCCTAACCCATCTTTTCAAAAGTCACTCATTCACTTTATGAGAACTCAAAGCAGTTCTGCATATAGACTCTGGAAACCGATGCCTCTTCTTTGATTATGGGTCTTGGCAAGTAAAACAAGCCCATCATCACCATTAACCAGATATCCAGCAGGCTCCACTAGGGGGCACCCTGTTCAGTTCACGTGCCAGTACACTCTGGCAAAATGGAATCCTCAGCTGCTTTACTCTGGAGTTTTAATCTTCAGTGAGTAACTCACCCCAGAGGAAGACAGGGTAGCTAACCTAAGGACTTCGGAACTAGGCTAATCCGGTTATGACCTCCTATTTCTACTACCTTCCATAAGTACAACTGTGAGCCTTACTTCTTTGCCCTGTGGAGTGAGCAAAGCCTCCATAGGGACTCACTGAGAAAGCACTAAGAGTCTCTCACTAGTAGGCCTGAGAACAGAAACCATAGCCTCCTTTGAGAAGCAGCCACTTCTGGGCTTTCTAGTTGGTGTCTTGCCTTAGAGGTGCCAGAGCCTTCCTTGATCCTTGCTTTCAGCCAGATGGCGCAGGTGCTATCCTCTCCAAGTCACACTCAGAGCCTTCTCACAGGATGAGGCTCCACAGAGAGTGAGCAGCAGCCAAAGCAACAAAGCTCAAACCAAAGTTGTTCCTGGACCTTGTGAGGCTGAACATAATAGGTTGCCAGAGACAGGAGGAACAGATCATTGGGTCATTCTCACATTTCAAGGGCTTAGAAGATTCAGAGCTTTGCTTCTGCCTTAGAACTTGGGAGGATTCCCTGCCCCATGTGGTTTCCACTAGAGAGAAAGCTACGCGTAGTCTACACCCATGGAAGTCAGAGACACTGCTGCCCATGAAAGGAGCTTCAGTTTCTGACCAGTCTCAACAGGATTTGGTCTGGGAACCCACAGTCCTATACCAAGCCTTACTAGGGTCCCTAGAAGCTTTCAGAAATCAGATACAGGATGGGATCCCCTTGTTAAGAGACCTTTGATCCTAGTCCTCTGGACAGTAGGCTCCTGATAAACCTTTCACTGTCTTTAAGAGGTCCCCAGTGACTCTTTGCGAACAGGAGATACTGCACAGAGCCCTTTGCTGACTTCAAGGTCCAGGTCTCTAGGTGAGCCTGTAAAACAGCTCCCACCTTAGAGGGACTGTGGCAGGGGTAACGATCAAGGAAATGTAGCACATTCCAAAAGAGAGCCCTGGCTCAGCTCCAGCCCTAAACAGCCTCAGTACTTACTTGGCTTTCCATAGAGGGTAAATGCTCTTCAGTCCCCACGCTGGCAGAAGGCAGTGGGCTGCTGAGTGTAGGCTTAGACCTGTCTGCTACAGGTTCTCTGCTGGCAGGGTGGACCTGTGATAAGAAAACTCCAGAGATGCAGCCAGGGTTGGCCTCAGCCCTCCACAGTGGCCCTCCCTCGACTTCCAGATGTGGGGGCTGCTCTGGTTCTAGTCCTGGGGACAGCAGTTCCCCAGAATTCCACCTGCTACAAGGTGGGACCTTTGTGTTGACAGATGCTTCTGCCTCAGCCTCATCTTCACCCAGGGCCATCGAGCCTTCCCTAAATCTGGTTTCCCTTGAAGCCTTCAGGAACCTACAAAACAAGGGAAGAAAAGAGGAAAAAATAGATTTTCTTCATGTGTGCAGCAAAATCTTGATTTTAAGTGAAAGGCAAACTTTTCTGGCCAAAGAAACAGTAACCATGCCTTTGGGGGGAATACGAAGGTCTGGCTCTTCCTCAGCCCCAGACCCTTTCAAAGGGGATGCCTAAGTATGGCTTTGTCCTCTATCGTTGTATTGTCTCCCAAGAGTCAGGAGAGATATGACCAAGAAAAAGGCTTGGCTGGCCTGCTACATAAGGTCAAAAAACAAGGCAATGGAAGAAGAAAGAAAAGTACTATGAGCGAACTGATCTGGGTGGAAGAGCCCCATTCCAAGGCCATCTTCCTTGTCTGGAAGCTGAAGGGAGAGGAGCCTTACACGGAAGGTAAGCACAGGCTCCTGGGTGCCTCCCTACAGGTGGAGGTCTGTGATAAGACACAGCTGATCCTAACTGCCTGCTCATGAGGTGCTTCTCAGTCTACACCTCTCAGAACAGACCACTGTTTCCTAGGGCTACTATTCTCACTGGCTAATTTCCCATGTGCTCTCCTGGACTTCACACATGGAAAGACTCGAAAGATGGCTGCCCAAAATCTTCTTGTGATTACTGAACTCACTCACGTGAAACAAAATGGGAGTTGACTACAAGGCCTTGCTTCAGTGTGCAGCTCCACAGACTCAATTTAGGGACAAGGCTTGGGCCCTGTGTGCATTGCCTCTTTACCCCAACCTCATTAAGATGTCCAGCTGGCCTCTGCCAGGCACAGCCCCACAGTGGTTCTTCTTACACCAATGGCTTGTTGGCTAGCAGCCTGAGTCTGGTTCTATCCCTTCTATCCCAGAGCATAGCAAGTTTAGGCATGCCCGGGCCTTCACTAGGTTCAGAAGGATGCTTCTAACTATTCTTGGTGTGAGAAGACTGCTGAAATAGGAACCACAACCAGACTGTGGACCAGATGGGGCCTCTCATTCAGTGATGACTAAGAACCAGACACAGATCAGCACCCGCTTCTCAGGCTGCCTTGGTGTATGTTAACCTTGGCAGCCTGAGAAGCCATGGAAAATTGGGTGATAATGTGTGAGTTTATGTGAGACAGGAGAACAATCCAGGCAGACTGGTGAGGGAGGACCTGGGGGAAAAAAAAGAATCAGCTGGATCTACAGAAGAGCTCCAGACAATAGAGGGAAACCAGGTTGTCCTAAAAAGGCAGCCAGTGATACTCCTGGGCACTAGTGGAATGACAGGAGAAAGTCTAACCTGAAAGGACATGTAAGTGTGTACGAGGGAACAGTGGGCATTCAGAATGTCTTCGGCTACCTGCAGGACACTGGGACTAACCTCAAGACTAAAACCTGGACAGGAACAGCCTTATTTTCCTCAGAGACTAGAGGCAAAGTGTGGAAAATGAGGTTGCTGGTGGCAACACAGGAAGCTACCAAGGGGGGCAGGAGTGGCCTTGTCAGGTTCACCCTTCTTGGCTTTCCTGCCAGGAAATGCAACCAGGTAAAATATGAAATTCCTATTCTTTCCTAACTGGGCACACGGGGTTCCAGGCCATTCTGCGTGACTTCAGAGAAAACCATGAACTTTAAATGCAACCAGCATACTCCTGGAAGCACCAGATCCTTCAGGGTAATCAGAGCCCACCCCGTTTTCTTTTTTTGTAGAAACAGCACCTAACCTTTCATATAACAAGCCAAGTACTTACCAATAAACAGTCCACAGGCAAGCAGTGTTGTCAGGTTTTGTGTATGACTCCTTTCACACGATACATATACAAACACAAATATTTTCCCACACATATACCTTTATTTAGATAAAGTGTTGAACAGGGCAGGGCATACCATTCAAAACTTGTCACCCCAGCCTAAAAAAAGGTAGGGATTGAAGTTCGAACCTTGGAGCTGTAGATCTAAGGCACCACAGCTACTGGTTATCCTTGATAAACCAGTCCAGCCCAGTTAAGAAGAAAGCCATTCTCTTCAGTTGACTGTGGTGATCCCCCTGCAGGCTTTACAGCAAGAAGGGAAGGAAAGGGACGGGGAAGGGGAAGGGAAGGGAAAAGGGAAGGGGCCTATTTTTATTATAGCTGGCATTAGACCAGAACTGCTAGAGTCTGGCCCAGATCATTTTACATTAGGCATATTTAAGCACAGCACAATTTGGAAAAAAAAGTATTCAGAAAACAGTGAACTCAGCTCTGTGGGTACAACAAAGCTTAAGACATGTTCACATTCCTTGCAAAATGCATATGGCTTCACCTGTGAGACGGTTTCTGTTCACGCAGACACAATGCTCAGGATCAGGGTCTAGGGAGAATGGCTGGGGCAAACAACACCCGTGGGAGTCAGGATTGGCCTGGCCCTAAGATAACAAAGAAGTACTTAGGCTGTGGTAAAGCACAAGTGACATCACTCATAAGAATGGGCTTTATGGCCTAAAAGCAACACTCAAGATTTAGAGGAAAAGGTTTGGGGTAAGTAAAAACCAAAGTTCTCTAAGATATGGGCAGCATGTCTCATCAGACAGCAAAGAATCATCAGGATGTAAAACTACATCATTCCTGGCATTCCAGGAAGAGGTAAGATGTGTGTTTAACTTTTCCAGCTTCTCACACAGTGCTTATCTGTATGTTCAAGGCCTTTATTCACCTCTGTATCCAACCAGAATGGACACACGAGGCAGTGAAGAAAAAAGGGATATCTGTCTCTTCAGTCATATCCACTAAATCAACTCTGGTTATTTAAGGGGGTGATATATGCAGCCAGATCACCCTCACACCCCAAACCTAGAATCTTGTGCAAGCTAAGGAATCAATTCCAGAGCTGTGTGACTCCAGAACCCAAGCTCTTGATGAACCAAACAAGGATCAGTGAAAACAAACCAAAAGGCACACAAAGCCTAAGATGGCAGGAGAAAAATGGGGGAGGAAGGGTGGCTGAATTCTGATGAGGTGTTTTCATGGAGCCACATCCTCACCTTGGGGCTCCTTTAAAAACTGCACAATTTACTTATGTGCACAGAGACACAAGAGACAGACTCTTTCTCCCCTAACCCCTCCCCTCACACCCACAGAAGACATGAGATCTCTGGATGTGGATTTACAGGTAGTTGTAAGCTGCCTGACAAGGGTGCTGGGAACTGAACCTGGGTCCTCTGAAGATCAGACAGCACTAGGTGCTGAACTATCTCTCCAGCCCCTGCACTAGTTTTTGATTAACTACAGATGACCTCAGCTGGAGAATTAGGGTGAAGACAACTTACCTCTCACTTTGTTTTTATTTTTTTCCGGAGACAGGGTTTCTCTGTGTAGCTGGCTGTCCTGGCCTCACTTTGTAGACCAGGCTGGCCTGGAACTCACAGAGATCTGCCTGCCTCTGCTTCCCTGAGCGCTGAGATTAAAGTGTGCGCCACGCTCAGTTTACCTCTCAATTTGTGATTGCTGCTACTTCCTCCATTTCTAGAAACTCTCAATGGCCACCGCTTCCTTATGCTCCTATCAAGTATGGTGTTAAGACTTAGTCCTGTAGTAAAATGAAGCTGAGCAACACAGGATCAAATGCTTCAAAAACAGTATAACTATTTATATTTATTTCTGCATGTATGGATGTGTGCAGATGTAAGAGTCTGTTCTCTCCTCCTACCAGGTGGCCTTTCAGGGATTAAACTCAGGTCGTCAGGCTTGGCAGCAAATGCCTTTCTTTACCTGATGAGCCATCTCAATGGCCCTACTTTTTTAAGTGACAAATTTTTAAAAATTCTGTCTTGCCTGGAGGCCATTATTCACAAAAGGTTTCCACCTTGTCCTAGGGAGGGCAGTATGGAGAGCTGCTGTAGCTCCTAAGTAGCCTGCCAGGACACATACAATCCTGAACTCAGTTTACTCCATGGCCCAAGGCCCTTCAGTAACCAGGTGTGGTCTGAATGAGAATGGCCCTCACAGATATATCTGAATACTTGGTCCCTAGTTGGTTTAACTGTTTTGGGAAAGATTAAGAGGTGTGGTCTTGGGGGCTGGAGAGATGGCTCAGAGGTTAAGAGCACTGGCTGTTCTTCCAAAGGTCATGAGTTCAATTCCCAGAAACCACAGGATGGCTCACAACCATCTATAATGAGATCTGGTACCATCTTCGGGTGTGCAGGCCTGCATGGGGGCAGAAGACAGAATACATATAAAAAATAAATCAATCTAATCCTCTTGTTAAAGAGGAGTGTCAGTGGAGGTAGATTTGAGGTTTCAAAAGCCCATGCCAGGCCCAGTCTCACTTTTTCTCTGCCTCCAACTTGTGGTTCAGATGTAAGCTCTCATTACTGCTCCAATTCCATGTCAGCCATGCCTGCCTGCTACCAAGCTTCCCACCATGACAGTCATAGAGACACCCTCTGAAACAGTAAACAAGCCCCCAATTAAATACTTTCTTTTATAAATTGCCTTGGTCATAGTGTCTCTTCATAGCAATAGAACAATAAAGAAGACATCAGGTAAAGGCTGAAATTCGGCTGAGTTCAAGCCCCAGAAGGTACATGGTGGAAGGAAAAGGCCCAATGTCAAGCTGTCCTCGGGCCTCTGAGCTATGGCATGTGAGCACCTGCACTCACAGTGCACCCACTTCAGCAGTTAGTGCTGTCTCATCTTCCAGCACCCATGGCAGGCAGCTCACAACTGCCTCTAGGTCTACATCAGGAGAACTCATGTCTTCTGTGGACATGTGTGTGTGTCCACATGCATGCATGCATACGTGTGTGTATACACAGACACAAAAATATGTATAGGTATTTTTTTAAGGAGCCACAGGTGAGGATGTGGCTCCATGAAAATAGCTCATCAGAACTTGGCCAATCTCCTTCCCCCATTCTTACTCTGCTCTCTTCATCTTTGTGTGCCTTTTGGTTTGTTTTCTTACTGATTGTTTGGTTCTGGAGTCACTCCTTTGCATGCTCAATTCTAGGTTCTGGATTTGAGGGTGATCTGGCTGCACAAAATAAATGTA